GATACAGGCATATGTGCTCTCGCGTTTATCATGCACCAAAGTTGCATGTATCATATGTACCGTTTTCCGGACACTGGAACGAGTGCCTGCCCCTCGCGCCCACCCCATGGCCCAGCGGGGAGCCGACGTCGCTCCTGCGACCACTGTGCGGTTCCTATCGGTCCGGCTTAGAGATGTCAATCGGATACCAACTTTTTGGTATACCGATACCAAACCAAACCGATACCAACTTGGTATTTGGTATTTCAATCGTAATGTGTTTGGTATTTTGTTGGTATCATAAGCCCTCACTAATGTATTAGAGGCTAAGAAATCGGTAAAAAGTTGGTATTTCCCTCAGTTTCCCAAGTTGGTTTGGTTTCGGTATTCTCCCGTGGTTTTAGTTGGTATTTGGTTTGGTATCGGTATTCCGATTTTCCGTGACTGACATCACTAGTCCGGCTGCATGGGGAAGACCGATGTTCCCTTGCTCAACATCCTGTGGTGATGTGTTCTACAGAGGAATTGCAGACGGCGAGGACCACCGGACGGATACGATGGTGTCACTGGCCTTCCAAGCGCGATAAATTATTCGGAACCGTTGTAAGACGTTGCGTCATATCGACTTAGTGTGTTTGCGATGCATTGAGACGTATGTAGGTACTATAGTTCAAATTCCGTACTCTGGACATACCATTACCTATAACAGGGCATATCGAATATATGCACTCCGAATAAAATTAACCCGGCAGGCGGTGGGCCTACCAGCCCAGGCGCGTAACCACCACTGGGGACACTGGGGACCGGTCCCCAGTAACTTTTGGGATACTGGGGACCGTCCCCAGTAAAACCGACGACCTCCTGAATTTGCTTAAATAGCCTAATGTTGTCTCTAAATCGACGTGAAGAGTAATATGTAGTCAACGGAAGATAAAACCATAGTGTGATAAATAACCATAGTTATTTATAACACTATGATAAAACTATGGATGCTTTGTTTAGCCAGCGCCCGTGTAGGCCTCTCAGCCAGCCTCGCCACGGTGGGGGGGGGGGGGCTTTTTGGCCACACCAAATTATCTCGGAAAGTAAGCAAGCCAGAAAGGCGCGGTAAAAAGCAACAGATAGCTCGCTTCAGTATCTTTCAGAATTACCTATGTCATTTTTGATCAGGCCATCGATGAGGTCTTTGAAGGTCACCAAAAGTAAAATTTTAATGAACCTTTGACAATTTTGACCCAATTTTGACAACTTTTCACAAATCGGCGCATAATGAGTCAGGAACCAGTACAGCTGCAGTGCTGCGGGAAAGCGCATTCGATAGCTCTTTCAAAGGTCTTTCTGAGTAATGTTCTCAGATTTTACCTAAGGTCAACGGTTTAGCTTCCAGGGTCTCGTTTCATAAAGCGAGTCCGTAACTTACGCCGATTTTTGGGCTTGAATTACAAGCACATGTGAAGCGATAAATTTATTTCTCCTTCTGCCTTCTGTTCTTGCTTGCAACATAAATACATTCAACGATTCAAACTATCGCAATCGCTTCACATGCACTTGCAATACAAGACCAAAAAAACGGCGTAAGTTACGGAATCGCTTTATGAAACGAGGCCCAGGTTGGCGTTTTTGCGGAAAAGTTTTTTATATCATAACTTTTGACTTGAAACTATATAAGTTTCAAGACGCTGATTTTACCGGCATCGCGTTTGTCTCGTCGAGACGGGTGGAATGAACTAGGTATACCTAAGTTGAACTGAAAAGATCAACTTGAAAATTTGACCCCTGGTCATGGCCACGAAAAAGGTCATGCTGCATGTCATTCGATAGGTATTGTTGAGCTGAACACATTCATAGTAGGTTCAGCGCTCTAGCATGTTTCTACCTAAAGTTATGATTAAAAACTGTTGGAGATGTTTCATGACCAGAGATGACCACAGGGGCATAGAAGGGGTCAGAGGTGCAATTTTCCGATTCATTGTGTCATGTTTACCTGTGTCACGTTGTTTGAATGTATTTTCGGCCAAAAGAAGAGCATTTCAGTTTTCTCCCAATGACTTATCATGGATGTCGCAAAACTGACCTGACATTTTGCGGTCCCGTAGCTCAGTTGGTAAATGGTGGAGCGTTAGACTCCGCTTGGTGAGAGCACGCGTTCCCGGTTATAACAGTCCGGGTTCGAAGCGCGACGGGCGCTTGACATGGGCCTCCTGATAGGTATGGTTGCGGTTGGTGGCAGGCCGTAGCCAGGCGAAGTCAGTGAGGGGACTGGTCGTGCGCGGCTATGTGCGCACGTTAAACTTTGGACTCTAAATTCTGCCATAGAACTGGAATTGTGCAATCGGAGGGTAGAGGGCAGGGTCACCGCAACAAGCTTCGCTTAGCGGTGGCTCTGTGCTTAAGGACAGAGCCACCGCTAAGCGAAGCTTGTTGCGGTGACCCTGCACTCTACCCTCCGATTGCGCAATGTGAGTCCTTCCTATCAGAAGGTTCGGACTAAATTTATTAAAGAAAATACATTAGGTCACCAATATGTAAAAACTTTGAGATATACGAATTGTTCATACTGATTTACTCACGCAAAAGCTCGAGCTTCAAACTTCTGGGATGAAACTGTAGGAATGACATAGTCACAAAGTTTTTTGGAGGCATGGCTACTTTACTTAACCTGGTGACCTGACCTTAAGTGACCGGGGGTCAAAATTTTCACACATGATACGAAATTGAGGTATCATAAGCTATACCAAATTTCGCAACGGTGCGCGCCGCGGTTTTCCTTACACGCGCAACAAAAAAACTGGCGGGTGTGGCCAGAACCCCCCCCCCCCACTCGGGCGAAAGCTGATCCTGAAATATAATATTTGGTCTTCGCGGCTCTCCATGTGGTCCCCAGTAACTTCAGACTCGTGGTTACGCGCCTGTACCAGCCACCTTCCGCGCGGTGGGGGAGGGGCATTTTTTTGCCCCCCCCCCCGTATCTCCGAAACTACTGGACGGATCCGGAAAATTCAAACGGTGTTCGATAGCCCTGTCAAATTTGTCGAAGGAAACCAAATTTCATTGACCTCGGGGTCACCGATGACGTCACAGGTCAGGTCAAAGATAAAATGTTTCACCGTTCACGGGGCTTCTAGGGAAAGCGCTATAACACCGAGTAAAACGCATTTTGTCGAAAATCAGCGATAAGGCGTCAGTTGTCTAGTACATATGTTGCTATTAGAGGTCACTGGTCATACCAGGTCAGGTCACAGGTCAGGTCACCAAAGGTCACCAAGGGTCACCACATGAGCCCAACTTTACTAAGGTTATGTGATGCATGTTTTATGGCCAGTTTTTCATTTCCAACTCAATGGTGTTGGTTATAAGACCATCAGGTACGGTTTAGGTCACTTTCTGGTGGAGGTCAGGTCAAGGTCAGGTCAAAAAAGGTCAAATTTCAAAGTTGATATTTTTTGCATAAAATGGGTATCGATTCGATGCAGCTCGTCACGGGGAGTCTAATGGTGGTCTTTGTTTTGCGCTACGAGGTCTAGAATTGCTAAATATTGAGTTTGAAAATTCGACGTCATCAATTTTGAACAGTTTTTTCGCTATAACTTGGCCAAAAAAAGAGGTATCGATCTCAAATTTGGTATGTAGATAGAAGACGGTAGGAACTATCACATATTTTCCGTTTTTTTCGAAATTCAAAAAACTTTTGGGATTTTTTGGCTATTATATTCAAAAAATCTATTTTTTTATTTTTGGGGGTCAAAATCCAAACAAATTCGAAAAACCGAAATAGCAGTTTTGTAGCCCTTTTGATTCCACACCTTTTATGTCTAAAATATTTTTTTTTATCTCTAAAGCTGTAGGCCTGACAGCTCTTCCCGCGAAACCTTTTTTGGGTCGAAAATGGCAAAAATGACGTCACTCTGACGTCATTAGCGGCTAACCTATCAAAGCCTTTGGAAAAAAATTTTGGTCACCATGTGCGCTAGCTGCTCCCGGGAGGGTACTGAAAGTTTGGTGACGATCGGCGCAGCAGTTCTCGAGATATATCGAAAAAACTAAGGGGGGGGGGCAAAAAATGCCCCCCCCCCCCACCGCCTGGAAGGCTTTTTCAAATATGTACCTTTTGGCATTCGAGTAAAAGGACCATTCGGGTTGCGGCAAACTCAACCAGATGGTGAATGGAGCGAATGTAAATTTCATTGACATTCATGGGCCCACGTTATGGCGATTGGTTATAGAGGCAACTGCCAGGAATGGCGCCAGGATGCAGTTGGATATTGCTCCTAATGTCTTTCCTCTCCGCTAGTCGGTCATACACAAATCTGACCGAGTGCAGAAGTGCACGGATAGTAGGTGGTGTGAGCGTGGCCTTGGCTAGATGCAATGACTCAGGAACACAGAACTGTCAGTGTCAACACCGGACAATGCATGGACGAACAGTGAATATCATGAATCGCATTAGGTAGCAACGCAGCTTCCAAGTGCACGAGCACTTGGTTGTAGTGGGAAGATACGGACCCGCGTTTTACGGTTGTGTTCTTTTCTTTACCCTTTAAAAGCAGTACGCTCATGTTACCAACACTTCTATTCATTTGCACAACATCATGAATGAAAGTAATACTTCTTTCTTTGAATGAAAGTAATACCGTTCTCTTCTTTCGTTTATCGACCATGGGTCGTGGTTTCCCATGCCATATTCAGTGGAACCCCGGGTAGTCCGACGTTCATTGCCGACCTCTGGCTGTCCGGTCAATATGGAATTCTGTCATAATGCGGTGAATTGATCTCAGAGGCTCATACGGCGCCGGGCGGAAGACGTGCCACCGGGCGCGCTTATTGCATCGGCCAGTATTACGAGCTTAGTGTAAACACGGGGACATGAGCAATGCATGCAACGGTCATCGCTTTGAAGGTAAACAAAGAAAGCTCTGTCATGTGGCTTGATACAATCGTAACTATTGTCGAGACTTTTTTATATCGCCACAAATAAGTTTTAAGCTAATGCAAGAGGTGAGGCGAGAGAAACTTCAACTCACCAACGAAGCTAAATAAATCCTCTCGGAGCAAGGCACACCTCGTCACCTGTCCGAGCCCCCAGCAGCTCGGCCCGGCTGCCCTGGTGCTGTCAGGACCCGCCACCGTAAGGCCCCGCCCGCTGGCGCCGCGTTCCCGCCCTGCGGCCGACTGGGGAGCGGGGGGCGGGCCCACCTGACCCGTCACCGCACGGACTCAGCCGCCGCCGCACCTGCCGCAGCGCACCGCAAACAAACACTATCGCTAGGCGGGGCTTCGTGCGGTGGCCGCCGCGCGGCGCTAGTGTCGCCGCGACCGCCTCCGCCCGCGGTTCGTCGATCGATGAGTGGTGTGAGGAGGTGGACCGAGCTGCGCCGACGTGACGCGGCCAGCGCGAGGGGCGGCGCCGACGTCGGTCAGGGCGAGTAGTACGCATTGTTGGTGACCTGGAAGGAGCCGCTGCCGGGGGCGGTGGGGGAAGGGGTACCCTCAGTGGTGACTGGGCAGCGGTCGATCGCGTGCCTGATTGGACTCCGTGGTGGCGAAGACAGCACCGCACGTGCTCACTAAAAGCACCGATCATATAATCAGCAGCGGTTCCGCACGAACGAAGGCCACACGGAGCTCGGTTAATGGCTCCTTGCGCGCCGACCGCGACCGCAGCAGAGGGAATACAATGCCCTGCGTGACATATTACCGATGCATTGTGGCCCTTCGGCCAATTTCCATGAGCAGTATCCTGGCGACAGGTAGTAAACAGAGTGTGTTAGCGATCCGGAGGGGCCCGTCACCCGAGATCACGTACGGTCCCGTGCTCCTGAAGAGACCAGATCCTGTTGGGAGGGACGGAGGGAGGACAAGGAGGGCAGATCTACCGGGGACGAGACAATAGAGAGAGGCGACTATAGCGAGATCACGAGAGATCCTCCCAGAAATGTGGGATAGATATTGGACAAATTGTGAAGAATGGCGGACGCGGAAGACTTGTTCCCACCCACGTCAGCTCTGAGCTCGTCAGCGCCATTCATGGATCACTGCACTGAAATTGCATAGTGACGCGGCAATTTCACATGGTATGCGTGGGAATTTTATCAGACAGCGATGTTATGATCTCTTGTCATGCAACAACCATTTGTGACCGTTCGGAACCGCATGACACACAAAACTAGAACTGCAGTGAAGATAATAATCATCCCCTCCCTTTGGGCTAATCTTTGAAATGCTGTTCCGGTGTTCTGTTACCAGTTTCAGCTCGCCATAAACTTTGTCAAACTCTCAAATTGATTCCAATCTTGGGACATCGGTATTTGGCATCCATTCGCCCTTCCTTCACATGTTCGAGTGGCATCGCGTAGCGTGCCGTGCGCCTGAAAGGAGCACGCAGCCTTTGTTGCTTGTGGTTAACATATCGCATAACGTCGTCACAACACCGGCACCGAACGCTCGCCTGCCAGCTTCCGCACAGCAGGGTATCCTATTCCGCACACAGCATTATTTTGTGACAGTTCTCCTGATATTTAGTCCTCCAGACAGTCTCCAGATAATCTGTCTGGCTTCCTACCCGATTGGTGTTCCTTCCCCAAAAGTCGGCTGAATGTCTCCGTCTCCCTTTATTCACCAACGTCCGCCGCCGCCCGGCGTCTGCGTCGTGCGCCTTCTACAAAATGTGGCCGACACACCGTCCGCCGGGCGGCCTCTCTAAGGCATCCCTCGGCCAGGCGCGCCGCTCCGTCCGGACCATCACTGAGCAGGGCCCACACACCGCCGCGCGCACAACACCCGTCCGCCCCGGCCCGCAGGCTGGCGGTCTATCACTCAGTCAGTTGCACAGTGTTGAACGCAGATCGCACCGCTCTCGACGCAGCGTCCCTGTCACAAGACGCGCCGCCCCGCACTAGCACTCTTCAGGTCACAGTTGGCACATACTTAAATACTCTTATGCACTTCCACCTTCGCGAGCAACAAGTCCTTGAGATGAATCCGGCGTCCTGCACGCTTCGTCGTTCAGTTATCGCACGGCAAGACGCTCCTTATGCCCAGTCATTCATTTCTATCACACAATGTTGGCTCACAGTTTGTGGGAGCTCTAGGCTTCTCGCACACGGGATCCCACAGGCACACACTCGCAACCACAGACCACTTTTACAGCCAAATATTGGCCGTCTCTGAACAGCACAAACACTCCACTTGCCGACAACCACTCCCACACGACCATCTGAGCCACCCTAAAATTTCAGTAACACGCGCGCGGGAAACAAGGACTAATTCGACGCATATAAAATTATAAAACACTCATACCTGGACCTTGCATCTGGCTGCCGGCCACCCCGCGTGCTCTCCCTCCCTCTCCCTGTCACACGGGCAGCGCCGCGGGGCTCGGGGCGCGCCCTGACTAGCTGTGCCGGCCCCACCGGCCGCCTCCGACCGGCACTATCACAGAGGCCAGTGGCGCCCCTGGGCCGCCCGCGCCGCCTCCCTGAGCCGCGTCGGCCGGCCACAGCCGATCGAGCCGCGCGCCGCGCCGGCTCAGTTGATGGTCTCTCGCTCGCCGACGTTCAGCCGGCCCTCGGCGGATGTCACCGAGAAGCCCAGGATGCTGTTGTCCACCGCCCGGTTCTTGTTCTTGCCTTTGCGACCCTTTGGCTGCGGAATGGAGAGAACACCGGTGAATACGAGTGAACTGCTTAGCACGCAACACGTATATTTATTACAAACGGTTCCTGGGGATCGTAGCGGGTCAATATCGTTTACTGCAACTAGCCCATCGCTATCATAGCCCGTTTACTACAAATAGCCCATGGTTCACTAAACTAACCCAGCTACTACAAACCAGCTCATTTCACGCAAAATGCCTCCCCCGTCCCCGACGTTTAGCTCACCTTTGCTTCCTGGAACTCGTTCGAGGCCGGGTTGACGGCCCGCGCCGGTCCGTACATGTCGTCACTCTCGACCCGCTTGGTGGCGTTCTTCCAGCGGCTGCGGCGCTCCAGGAACTGGCGCGCGAACTCGCTGGCCTCCTTGTTCTCGCCCAGGTAGGAGAGCACGTAGTCTTTGACCTCGAACGGCGACTCGACGTCCTTCAGGAAACCGATGAACGTCGGCACTGCGAACATGTAATTATCGTGTCAACATATTACTTCCTATGCTCTGTCCAAAGGTGTCCGGTCTGGTCCCAACATTGTCCACTTTCTAGTCGATCTGAGCATATAAATGGCGATCAATTAGACCTCCAGTGACCAAATAAACCAGCTAAAGCCGTTCCTGGAATGCTCGCATCTGGGGAAGATTTATATAAGTAAATTTACGAAACACAACGAAATATTAGTCGGTGAGTCATCTTCGGTCTCTCAACGTATCGCCATGGAGGCAGTGTCTCAACCATAGATGAGCCCCCCCCCCCCCATCATCTTAGGTCATCAATAAACCTCATGGGTAGCGCCTAGCGAAAACATTGACCATAAATATGCCGAACAGTTAACAGGATGCATTACGACCGGCAAACAGCGTTCCGATACCATATCGCACTGATGACGTCCCAACGTCCGCTACCGGTGATAAGCCGGTAACGCGTGACGTCAAAGTGGTGACACGCACCACTATCGGTGATTACAAACCACCCCGGCCAGAGGCAACACCAGCCTAGCACCAGCCACGTTAGCACCAGCCTAGTGCAATCCAATCGAGGGTGTGCTGCAAAACTGGGCAACACTTGCACTCTACTTGCAACGGCGGAGCCAATAGCCGCTCAGTCGCGATCGATAAACCGTTCCTTGGTCGCCAATATTGCCAGAAAGTGCTCGACCTAATGACCTTCGCTGGCATCGTTCTCACGTACCGGACTGGGCTTCACTTTACCTACAGAATTCACCCGGGGCCAGTCTCATCATGGCATAATTTCCGCATCCATCGCAAGGTGGAATCATACGGCGCCAGTTCAGTTTTCCGTCATTCATGAACGGAAAACTGTCATTCAGACACGGCCTATTAGTTCTTTTTTAGACAGCGTCCAACATAGGAAAATAGCACCGACTATGACGTGCCATCTTAACAGATTTGTGACTGCAGCAGAAGCATGTTTTGCAAGGCGAAATTTCTTTTTCAACTTAAAAGCTTTAGCAAGTTTTAATTTCCATTTCCGACTTCCCCATTTGATCGACCTGCTGTAGCATTGGCTACATAGCGTTCAAGGCTATTGTGACTTTGATAAACATCCCTATTCTACATATGTGATGGTATGGGAGTACTAAGCAGCTGCTGGTATGCGGGCTAAAACGTTTGACAGAAAAAGTCCTAACCAAGAATCAAGAATCAAGGTTGTCTGGGCTCTGGAAGAAGACGTCGAGGTCTATGTTGTAGCCCATTTCTTTTTTGAATCACACGTTCTTCTACATCAGTTTGAAAGAAAACAAAGAAAAAGATCGGGATTGAAAGGAAAGTGACACCATGAAGTCTATCGAGATCTCCGCATTCATAACACGACAGCCAGTGACAACTGGATACGATCAGTGTGGAATGAAGACAGCTCACCGTAAATTAGAGAATAAGAAAATCCATGCACGTAACGACACTTCACACGATTTTAACGTGCCAGCCTGTTGCAACATGATTTATGGACTTGGTCACGCGTCACCCGACTAAATAATTCACGGGACGTCGTACTACAAAGTAAAGCTGCAAGTAACCAACATATATGCACCATAAGGTAACGAACCTCCCCGCCTCCCACGCGCAAACACACCACCCCCCGCAGCCTTGCGCCACGCACACTCACCATCCACGTCAGCCTTCATGCGTTTGAGCGTGGCCGTGGCCCAGGCGTGGAAGCCGTCATCGGCCGGCTCCTCCTGCACAAACAGCTTCATCACGGCCTGCTGCTCGGCCTTGTTGCGCTGCGCCTTCTTCTTGGAGGGCGCCGCCGCCGGCTGGCCGGTCGGCTGACCCTTACCCTTTTTGCCGGCGCCGGTGGCGGCCGCCGGCTCCCAGAATCCCGCCGCACCGGGGGCGGGCGCCGAGTCTGCGGGACGAGGGAGGGAGTTAATACACAGACAGGAAAGTAAAACTGTGAGCGCCGGGCCTGGGGCAGAGGATAGGCCCTTTAGGTGGACGGGTAAAAAGTAAAAACTGTCGGCACTGCGCCAAACTACTGGTCTCGCTCTCAACGCTCTGACAGTCCTTCGCGATTCGCGAGCAAAAAAAAAAAGCATAAAACGACCTTTCCAGAGCTGGCGGGAACCTTACATTGGAGCCATTCTTGCAATTTCAGCACAAGCATAATATCAAGAACCCATAGCGTCGGTGGACTCACTTGTACTTTGTTTGTTGTTGGCCACGGCGGCGGTCCAGGGCCCGGCGGTGCCCTGGCGAGCCGAGCCGTCCCAGGCAGACGGCTGCGCCGCGGAGTCGGAAGCCTTGGCAGCCGCCGACGGAGCCCGGGCGGCCGCCGGCGCGGGAGCTGCGGCGGGGGCGGCAGCGGCCGGCGCCGGCGTGGCGGCTGCCATCTTGCTCCAGCTGAGGTTCTGGGAGGCGCCGCTCCAGACACCTGCCTGCTGGAACGTGAGCTGCTGCTGCTGCTGTTGACGCTCCGCCTGCGCACGCTGCTGACGCTGCAGACAGAACAGGTGCGGAATATCGGTTAGTGGAGACCAGTCATTGACAAAAAACATGATAGGACAACTGAAAACATGAAAAAACGTTTCAACCTACTGCCCAGGCACAGCTAAGCCCATCTGCCTTCACTGACCGGCCTACGCTGTACGTACAATATAACCTACGTGTACATCTTTCCAGCTCTTTTTTTATGAACACGTGCCTTTCACCCTATGGTTCAAGCTTACCACCACCATTCTGCGGCTTGCCAGTACCATTTCCGCTGTACTATCGCACACCTACGAATTACGATCAACTCATTCATGCCTTAAATGGTCTCTAGTCCTGGTTCTAACCTTGGCCAGCTCCCGCGCCTGCTCCGCCTGGATCTCCGCCAGCGACTTGACGCTCTCCTCCACCGGCGCCGGCTGGGCGGCCCACTTGAGCTTCTGCTGCTGCTGCTGTTGCTGCTGCACGGTGGCCGCCAGCTGCTGCTCGCGCCGCCGCTGCGCCGCCACCTGTTCGCGGTGCGCGCGCTCGCGCCGGTCGCGGTCCTGCAGCCGCTGGATCTCGGACAGGCTGGGCGCGTCCGGCTGCTGGCCGCTGGACCAGGCCGGCTGGGCCGGCGGCGGCGCCGGCTGCACGCGCTGCTGCTGGGCCTGCTGCTCCTGCAGCCGCTGGAGGGCCGCCTCCTGCGCCAGACGCTGCTGCTCCTCCTCCTCCAGACGCACACGCTCCTCCTCCCTGCAAACACAGAGCAGAGTTAGCGGGAGAGAATAGGGATAAGGAGGCGAATAGCCGCCTGGTCCTGACTTTCCGTTCAATCCAGTACAAAGCATCAGAGAAAGATGATTACATTCTCCAACCAAACTATGCCCCGAAACATCAGACGCATAACAGCACAGCGAAAAGCGGCTCTAAAAGAGGCACCACTCAGTCCTTGTGATTCGACAAACTCGGGGAGACGATAGAAATAACAGGGAACCGAGGCTCAATACTTCAATTACAGTAAACACAAACAACACTGAGGAAGCATTTCAGCAAAACCGTTACCTGGTAAACCGAGCAGTATGTTCAGTGAGCTCTCACCTCTTGCGCTCTTCCTCCTGCTGCTGTCGGAGCGCCTCCTCCTGCGCCTGCCGCTCCTCCTTCTTCCGCTGCTCCTCCCGCTTCTTCTCTAGCTTCTTCCGCTCCTTCTCCTCGCGAAGCGCCGCCTCCACGCGCTTCGCCTCCTCCTCCTGCTTCCGCTTCTCCTCCTGCTGCTGCCTCTCCTGCAGGAGCCGTGCCTCCTCCTGCCGTCTCTGCTCCTCTGCCCGCTGCCTCTCCTCCTCCTGTCTCCGCTGCTCCTCCAGCCTCTGCCTCTCCTCCTCCTGGCGTCTCTGCTCCTCGGCGCGCTGCCGCTCCTGCTCCTGTCGCCTCAGCTCCTCCAGCTGCTGCTCCTGCTGACGGCGCTCTTCCTCCCAGCGCAGTCGCTCCTCCTCCCTCTGGCGCGCCTCGTCCAGTGCGCGCCGCTCCTCCCGCTGACGGGCAGCAGCCTCCTCCAGCAGTTTCCGCTCCTGCTGCTGTCGCTGAGCAGCCGCAGCAGCAGCGGCGGCGGCCGCGTCCTCGCGCGACGCCCAGCCGCCGGCGGGCCCGGTGCCGGGCGCACCCGGCCACGGCTGTCCACCCGACCAGACCGACTCGCCCGAGACGGGCGGCGCCTGGCCGGCCCGCGACAGCTGCTGCATCAGACTCTGGATCGGGTCCGGCGAGCTGTCCGAGGCGCGGCTGGCGGGCGCCGGCGCCGGCTCGCTGACGGCCGGCTGCGGCGGCGGCGGCACGGCAGCCGACTGCTGCTGCTGTTGCTGCTGGTGCATCTGTTGCAGTAGGTGCTGGAGCGAGTTCTGCGCGGCGCCCGGCACACCCATGGCGGGGAGGCCGGGGATGCCGGGTATGGCGCCCAGGCCGGGCATACCCGGGACACCGGGGCCGGCCAGGGTGACGGCCGGCTTCCCCAGCATACTCTGCTGGAGAACAGAGGCAAACGGGCGTTACACAGCTGGCCTCGGGAGGGCCAGGATGCTAAAGGGGAGATTACTGTAATGACCTCAAGATCAACTATTATCACATAATGACAACGAAATTGAATTTAATCATTATGATCACAGTTTAAAAAAAAAACAGTTTGCTAATGAAAAAGCAGTGCAGTGCGACAATCTCTTTCAAATGAAAACGTTTCAAATCACGTTTCACATCAGTACCTGCAGAGAGAAGAAGTCTGGGGCCTGCTGCAGCATCGACTGTTGCTGCTCAGCCATATGCTGGCTCATCAGGTACTGAGACAATATCTGTGACACAAAAACAACAGTCCGTCAAATCACCATGTAACAAAAAAAAAAAAAAAACAGGATGCAAAGTTTGCTTATCACAGGTAGACAGCTAAACCAGCGAAAGGATGATAACATGGCAAGAGCACACGCCATGTAATGCGTCTTTAAGCATAAGTAATATTAAAAAAGTTCGCAAGTTTTCATTAATCCCCAAAAGCATTGAAACGCAATAATCCCCTGTCAGCCCCGAGTTGGGGTCAAACCACGGGTCTATGCAGCTCCTGGGACGGTATCCGCCCGGCACCCACCTGCTGCTGCTGCGCCGGCGGCTGGGCGCGAAACTCTGCCGACTGCTGCAGTTTCAGCAGCGCCTGCGCCACCGCCTGCTGGCGCAGCTGCTGCTGCATGAACTGGTGCTGCTGCTGTGCCACCAGCAGCTGCTGCTGCTGCAGCACCGCCGCCATGTTGCCGTCCAGCTCCGGCAGCGCCGGGGACGCCGACGCCTTGGCCTTCTGTGGAGACACGCCGGCGTACCGGTTCAGACATGTCAGCGGATTTGGAGTCAGTCATTCGCCTCTCATTCATTTAAATCATCCATGCAGACTCAGGCATTTATAGCATCATTACTTGGAGTCATTCATTATTCTAATATTCCATGGGATCAAGTCACTTATATATAGGTACAATACATACATACCCATACAATTAACACAAGTAACTTAGGCAACGAATACAATGACAGCCGTTATCACTCCATGACTGAATTCACACCTCAACCTAAGTCTCACACCAATGAGCCGTTAAAATAATATCCCGTTACCCATCATGTAGCGCGGCCTCGGACACTCTCGGCACACTTCACCGGCACACCTACCGTGATGGGCGGCGCCGTCAGTCCCGGCGCGAACGGCACGCGTCCCCAGAGCGCCTCCAGCTCCCCCAACTGGCTGAACGTGTCGTCACAGCCGCGGCGCACGAGCAGGTTGGGCCGGAAATAGCCCGACTGGTACCACTCGAGCATCTCCGCAGACGTGAACGAGCCTGGCAATAGAGGAAGCAGATATCACAAGGCGATACAGGAACTGAGAACGAATCTAGTGTTGATGGTTGGCGGATATGTCAAATAATGATACCACAAACATGAAGAATACAGCATTAAGAATACTCGAAACTATACAAGGCACACAATCATGGCGCAAGCTTTATGTGGCTTCGCCGCGTTAGAATGCCAATCTGTCCCATGCCGTCGGAAATGCAACCCACCTTGCACCTGTCCCTGGGGGTCCGTGTAGAACCACTGGTCGGCGCCCTCGGGCCGGTCTCGCTCGGGACTGCCGGGCGCCACGGCGGACCCAGGAGCCGCCGGCTGGCCGGGCACCGCGGCCGGCTGTCCGCCCCCGCCTCCCGCCGTCGTCTCCTTCTCATCCTCCATCAGACCGGCCACCAGGTTATTAGCCGTCTCCTGCAGCTGCTGCATACTGGCCGCCTCACTGCTGGCCGGCGGCTGCGGCGGCTCCTTCGGCGGCCCCGGCGCAGTGGGAGCCGGGACGGGAGCCGGAGCCGCGGCCGGAGCAGGGTCGGCTGGCGGCGGCGCCGGCCGCTCCTCGCTGCCCGTCGGCTCGGCGGCAGGCGGCTCTGTGCAGGGGAGCGGTGTGTCAGTTAAGGTGTTCCTCTGGTGCATGTAACACAGGGAACATATGAACACATGTGGAGTGCAGCCTGTTGGCGTAACTTGTATTTACCGCTAGTCTAGGATTTCACGTCACGCTACCGATTTCCGTTGCAAGTTCTAACGCCTCCATCAGTCAATCCGCATCAAAATACTCCTATTGACTCTATTTTGGATATAAACAGACATAAACCGCCTTCCCACTAAGCGATCTGCCACGCCCACTTAACGTAAAGCTACCCGACCCCTCCCCCAGATCTCAATCTAGGCACCGGGTTCCCTTCGTCCCCATCGCCCTTTCGGCTCATAGCCCTGCAATGGCAACCGCTAATCTCACTTTGAAACCCGCCGGGTCGCTCAGGCTCACCTCTGTCATTGTTGGCGTTAGCTGGTCCAGAAGAGCTGCCGCCGCCTGGCGGACCGTTCGCCTCCGACCGGTTGCGGTCCGACTCGGTAAACTTGGGCTCCTCTGCGCCCGAGGAGCCCTGCCGAACACACGCGCACAGTTAGTGTTTGACGAAGAGCGATATTCAGGGGTGAGACGACGGTCATGGGTTGGCAGGTCAACAATGAATATTCAACGGACCGCGAAAGGGACACACAGTCAAAGCAACAGATTGGTGTAGTCTGCAATTACAGCAGTAAGCCCGCTAAAACGCCTCTGATGTGTAGGGCATGACAAATTTCCGTTAATGAGGCGTTCCAATCCCTAGGCGGATGACGAACGTTTCATGTCACATCTGATTACCAGTTGAGCCCAACGAAAAAAATCGCAGACCAGACGCTTGCAATGCATTCTTCAGATTATCAATTGCCGAGGGATATTATTTTTAGCGTGTACGGGGTGGTAGAGCAGAGGTGGGAGCGGACACCTACCTCCCGGTGCCCTCCGAGGGGGTCCTCTCCCCAGTCGCCGTGGAACTCTCCCTTGGAGTCGAAACTGCCGCCGGCCCCGCCAGACTCCGTGGCCCTGCGGCAGAGACACAGGTGTCAGAGATCAAATCTCAGGCAGCTCGGCACAAAACCACAATCCCCACGGTAAAAACGTTATCTAGCAATCTCAAATACACAAAACTGCAGCAAATGCATAAAGTATGCACCAATGTGGTTTGATAAGTGGCTGGACACTGGACGGTTACGGCCGTAAAATCTAACACAACATCTCCCCACCATCCTATCCATCATATTGTAGACCTGTAAGTTGTAACGGTAAAGAATTCCACCCGAGAAAAGTATTAAGCACATCCGTATCGTTAGCTTTATATCGGGTATCGCTGGCGCCAGACTGGCAACTAGCCAGCAGTCACTGAGCGGAGGCCGGGCGCCATGGCTGGCAGCTAGCCTCCACGTGGCGCCACGTGGGTTACACTCTGGCCCACACCCTAGAATGTCTCTCCTGCTCACCACTCGGGCAGCTCCTCCCTGCGCCGCTCGTCGTCTGGTCGGCGCCGCTGCCCGGGAGCCCCCAGACCGGACTCGCCCCGCCAGCTGCCGCCGCCGCCACTCCGAGACATGCCTGAGGGACACTCAGTGTAGTGAGTCAGTCAAGATTATGTTGACGGGTAGTTGATACTCTACCGTAGCGCGATAATAAAACAGAAGGCGGGCATTGGGGATTCAAAAGGTGTAACAACAATCGACTAGTGCCGCCCGGGCATAAGTGTCTTAGTCCTAAAAATAGCGTTACCAACTGATTGAGAACCGAGAGCTTAATTGGATCTTAAGAAAAAAAATGTTATAAGATGTAAAATGTGTCCCGTTCTAGGCCGGTTTGTACGTAACAGTTACTCAACGGGTGAGGTCTGGCTGCAGCCAGACTAAGGACCCAGATAACATATTGCAGGCGTCCCATGCTTCTCCATCAGAGCCCTGGCTCGCGTCCAACTCCCCTCCCCCCGATCCCCTGCCCTCCCCGGCACGTACCCCACTTGTCGGCCGGCCTGGGCGCCATCTTTCCCCTCCACCGGTCGTCGCCGCCGGCCGGCTCGCGGCTGCGCCAGTTATCCGAGATTGAGCCGCGTCCGAGCTCCTTGCGCGGCGATGTGGCGTCCAGACCGTTCCTGTCACCCCAGCCGGCCCGCTCCCCGCTGTCGTACATACTCTGCGCGCGGGACAGGGGGCGATGCAGTTAGCACTCACGGGCAAGGAAGGTGAGGGGGTCGTTAGGTATAAATGCATGTGAAGTGGCCGGGGTCGGTAGCTGGGTTGAACGACCTCAAAGCTGCATTATCTGACAAGGGATTTTAGTTGAGTTGAGGGCTTTGTCATAAACCTGTTGTTTTACGAGGTGTGGGAGTTACGAGCCTGTTGAAAGATAGACACCTGATATCTTTGTTCAGTGTTTAGGGGCAGATATCGCATATTAACCACACACCTAGTAACACAAGCTTGACACCAACCAACACCGAATCCCAGCCACCAACTCACGTGCGATCTTTCGAAGCTCTTTCCGCGTAGATAGCCGGGCGGCCCTGGGTCGCGCCTGCCGTAGCCCATGTCATCGCCGTCATCGTATCCGGCTCTGAACCCGAAGCTGGCGCCGCGGCCGCGTCCTCTGCCTCTGTCCACGGAGCCGCCCCGCCCTCCGCGCGCTGCCGGCCCGCCGCCGCGGCCCGTCAGCCGCAGCACCGCCTCACTGTTGACGCCGGAGCTCCAGGCCATCTGAGGGTGGGGATAAGGGAAGGAAAGCGTGAGACACGCGTGTTGGAAGTAGAGTGACAAGAAATACCAGATCACACGGGCACACTTCGAACGTATGTACATGCGCTGACCACTTGCCATGTCCAAGCAGTGAGCACCAGTGCCGAGGAATATGGGCGAGAAAAAGAACAAAAACAATGTTACGTAACACCGCATTGTCCCACAATGACATAATGATACTACTTTTTCTTATCTTGTTTTGACTTAACAATCTTACACTCCACGACGCACGGCACTAACAGTTCTTTGACCTTTTAACCAAAGCAGCTGCGCTTTATACACTTCATAACAAATCTTTTTTTATCAGTGACAGCTCTGCTGGTGTCAATGATAAAAGCCCCAATTTATTGTGTAACTCCGTTACATCCGACCCAGATGTTACACAGCTCCCGCCACCCTTGTCTGGCTTCCTCACGTGACCACGTGTTTACCAACCACCTGTGGCCGGCGGCCAGCCACAGGACAATCGATACAGTCACCGACACACACACACCGTTGGGGTAATGGACTGTGACCACTGGCTGTCGTAACTCAGCGGACGTCGGTGATAACTGGGCGCCGAAATTGGCTAGGAAAAGGTGGTATTGCGCTCCAGGCCAAGGTACTAACAGGTCACATCAGCTATTTCCGAAATAAAGTCGGGAATATTGTTACCTCTTCTAACTTTCACCAGATTATTTTTGCCCATTTCTCGCCTGTTCAAAACAACAGCTAAAAGTTATGAATCTTTAACCATATAACATCCATGTAAAACGACATTTCCTTGTTTTGCTTGTTTTTCTCAGACACTATGAAATTAACTCCATCGACCCCATAGCTTGATCATTCTGGCATGGATGAGATGTGGTATTTTATGTCCCACACTCCGGTAAAACAGGAAAAGTTTGCAGAGGTCAAAAGGGTTCCTGTTGGCCACGTCATCATCACTGATGCAAATCATTCCTTCTTCAGCCCTACTGAAAAGCAGAGGCTACGATTTTTGGTCAATTTCTTCCCAATTCTTATACCTCATTGCAACAAGAAAGCATCTATAAAAATGGATTGTCTTACACATAGAACGCCGAATCTTTCAAAAAAAAAAAAATATAGAAAGGTAATTCCATCTGCAGTTATTGGAATTCCAAGCATATTGCAGCCGGGAGATCTTTTCTCCACACCCAAACTACTCTCCCTCTCACAGCGCTACTCACTGGACTGCGTTCAGCGTCACGCCCCCTCGTCTTCCTCACCTTTTCCTCCTCGGACACGTTGCTGAAGGCCACCGGCGGCTGGCACTTTTCGACGAACACGCCGCCGTCCTGCGACATCTCGTCCGGCGCCACGATACCCTTCTCATAGAGAGCGAGCATCTCCTCGCGGCCATAGCTGCCGCAGGTCGGCCGGGGAGGTGGTGGGGTCAGTCGGGGGTCAGATTTTTTAACAGCCGACATATACATATGAGAAAGAAAGTGTAAAAAAAACAATGAAACAGTGACACAAACAAGACTGTGCAAAGGACGGATCATGCCTTCACTTTCAAACCCTGAGACCCTTTTTCTTTCCGGTTCCCTACTTACCGGTGTTCGGGAGTTTTGTATTTGGACACCATCGAGCCGGGACTGACGGGTGGCGAGCCAAGACCCGGTCCGCCGCCACCGCCGCCGCCGCTGCCGTGCGACAGGGCGCGCAGCCACTCGGGCCCAAACTTGAGCGTCGTCTCCGTCATAGTCGTCAGCGTGGGAATATGTGAACCTGCCGGAGCACGTGGCGGTCAGGATGGAGAACATGTGTGCGTCCTGCAGGACACCATGACAGCGGAAGTAATGATCACAGCCACAAAAACATTGAAAAAAAAACACTGAAATGCAGTAACGTCAAAAGTTTTGTATCTTAACCCGCGCCCAGCTGGGGGTCCTGGATTTCCACACCCTGCTGGGGGGTGGGGGGGGGGGTGTTTGTTTCAACACCCCCCCCCCCTTCTTACTCGGCTCCTGGGCCACGTAGCGATACGCGGAAGGCGGCGTTCGAAAGAGCGCCAAAAATAATGATGAAATCACTTCGGTCACTTTTTTGGTCAGGTCAACCGTCAAAGGTCAGGTCACCAGAGGTCATTGAAGGCAAAATTTCGGCGATTTCCAGGTCGAATGTCGACAATTTCCAGGAAGCCAACGCATAACTCGGGAAACAATAGAGCTACAGCGCCGCGGAAAAGCGCATTCGATAGCCCTATTAACGCCCTTTCTGAGTGATTCTCTCAGATTTGACCTAACGTCAACGGTTTTGCCTGCAGGGGGCAAAAACTGCAAAAATAGCCGTTTTTTCGGAAACAGTTTTTCTGCAATAACTTTTGACCCAAGCCTTGTACGAGCTTACTTTTACCGGCATCGTGTTCCTCTCGTCAAGACGCATCGAATGAACTATAACTTGACCTTGAAAGGTCAACTTGAAAATTTGACCTCAGGTCAAGGTCATGACCTGACCGGAAAGGGTCATGTTGCATATCAGTCGATCCATATCGTCGAGCTGAACACAGCTAAGGCGCTTTCACCGCTCTAACATGCCTCTATCAAAATGTTATGCAGTCGGATTAATTAAGTTAGATTACTGATGGTTTACCACAAAAGTACTCACGGATTCAAAGTTCCTATACAAAGAAATGCCAATCAACACATTGCCTGAATGGATTTATTTTTACCAACCTTGAGCATGTCTTTCATATTTGTATATCGTGCGCCATTACTGTCTGCGTGTGTTTGTGGAGTTGGGTTTATGACGTCATTTGCGACTCCGGTTTGCGATTGGACGTGAGGTCGGCCCACTACGATCCGAGGTCATGTTAGGTCAGATTTGCGGGCCCGCGCCAGTCGTGTCCTCAGCTCCGCAGTGAGTGGTGACCCGTGGAGTGCTGTCAGCTGTGCGTGGACGGAGAACCGCGGCTTGGGCAAGTGGACGATTCTGTACAGGTGAGGTTGTTGCTGCCTACTGATGGTAACAGTGGGAGCGCTGGGTACGGTTGTTCGTCCTGCTCCTGCCTACTGATGGGAACAGTAGGCGGTAGGATAACGGGGCAGTAAATATAGTCCACTGTGTAAGTATTCCTGTATTTGGGGTCCGTGGAGGAGGGGAACGGTAGCAGTGAACCCTGGGCTCGGTAACACTGGTGTCAGAAGTTTTTTTTTTCCTGTTTCTCCCTGATACCGCCGGTGGTGTTCCTACCTATTGATTCCAGCTATCGATGTGCTCAAACTTGGCATGATGACTGACGACAAACGCGTGACACGAAGCCAAACGGCGGAGATGGAGACAAAGACGACTGGAACTCGGGAAGAAGCCAGTACACTTCAACAAGTATCCGAGGTGGTGAAACAGCAGCTCAGCGAGCATGCATTACAACTGCACGAATCCTACGGCAAGAGAATGGACAACATCGAATCCATCCTTAGGGACTTGGGGGAGTTGGTCGCGTCATCTCGCCAGGACAGGAATCCTGTTGTCGCTGTTGATACAGCAACAACTCGGGTTCTTCAAGATGGGGGCGAGAATCATCAACCAGCTCCTAAAGGTGACGCTGTAGGGCGTAAACCCCAGGACTTCGATGGATCGGCTTCATTGGCCGCCTACCGAGCGCAGTTCGAGCTCATTGCGGCTAGCAACGGGTGGTCCACACACAGGAAAGCGGTTGAATTAGCCGCGAGTCTCAAAGGTCCGGCACTGGAAGTGCTGGCATGTGTGCCTCCAAATCACCTGGAAAATTATGAAGCATTAACAAATGTCTTAGAGCAGCGCTTCGGATCTGCACATCAGGAGCACCTCAATCGCGCCAGGCTAAGGAACCGAACCCGTGGTGGCAACGAGGGCCTGCAAGAGTTGGCATTGGACGTGGATCGACTTGCTCACTTGGCTTATCCCGGAGCTCCGCCGGACTTCAGGGCGACAGTCGCCTGTGATCAGTTTATTGACGCCCTGGAAGACACGGACATGCAAATGACCGTAAGACAGGCGAAACCAAGCAGCCTGCGCGACGCACTAGCTGCTGCCCTAGAATACGAGTCTCTAAGACGTTCCCTCAAATCATCACATAGCCGCCAGAGCAGTGGTTTCGGCAACCGCCAAGCCAGTGTGGAAACACAGAGTCCATCGAATTTGGAAACGAAGCTCGATGCTATTCTCTCTCGGATCCAGCAGCTTGAAGCTGCGAACCGCAAGCCGGCAGGACGTCTGGACAACAGGAGACAAGTGGGACTGGGGCCATGCTGGAACTGCAACAAAATGGGTCATATCAGACGAGACTGCAGACAACCCAGTAGGATGTCAACCTCTGGGTCTTCAAGTGGTCAGGGAAACGAATGAGGGTCGACCTCGAGGGGCAGCGGTCGGCCGGCGCTGAAGAGTCCCACGATTGTGTCCGGAGACCAGAACCCCCTGACTGTGTGCGGGTGGATGGCTGGGTTGGCGGCCGGCGGATGTCGATACTTGTCGACACAGGGTCGAATCGCACACTGGTCCGTAGCGACGTCATACCCGGTGTGGACCCTCCATCAGTGCCGGGGGGACTCTGTGACGTAACGGGACGCCGCACTGGATTGAGAGGGCCCGTGGAAGTTGAAGTGGCCCTCGGTAAACAAACATCACGCCATGCAGTATTCGTGGCGGAAGAGCTGGAAGAACGCTGCATCCTTGGCCTAGATTATCTGTCGGCCCACAACTGCCAACTGGATTTGAAAAAAAATGACACTTCAGGTGGACAACTCAACGATTCCACTGACGGAAACACAGCAAGACACTCCCAAAACGTACCGTGTAGTAGTTCGTAGACAAGTACGCATCCCGCCCAGAACAGAACAGTTGGTGGAGTGTAAGTCGTTGGACACAATCGATGGCCACCAAGTGCTAGTTGAGGGTGCAAGTGGTTTGGCCGACGGAATCATGGTAGGAAGGTCTCTGGTAAGGAACAAGTCACGCCTTCCAATACTGATCGGCAACCTCTCCGACAGACACATCAGACTTAAACCGGGCACAGTCATCGGAACAGGTGAGGATGTCTCATGTGGAAATGTTACTGTTCACGGCTCTTATTCAACCCATACAGGAGGTGTAGCATTACCCGATGATGTCCAGGAGCTGCTCAGCCGCTGCAGTGACACCCTCACGGATGCACAGGTGAGAGAGGTCGAGACTCTGCTGTTCGAGAACAGTGACATCTTTTCAGAAGGTGACCATGACTTGGGATCTACAGATTTGACGGAACACCACATCAAAACAAACAACCACCGCCCCATCAAGATCCCTCCTCGGCGTATCCCACTGGCGAAGCGAGAGGAGGCCGAAAGGTTGGTGAGCGACATGGCTCAACAACGCCTGATTGAAAAGTCAGCCAGTCCGTGGTCCTCTCCGCTGGTGATGGTGAAGAAAAAAGATGGATCCTTGAGATGCTGCGTCGACTATCGGGCCCTGAACGAGATCACCCTGAAGGACTCATACCCCCTGCCTAGGATCGACGATACGCTGGATGCTCTGGCTGGAGCAAAATGGTTCTCGACACTCGACTTGAAGTCTGGCTACCATCAAGTGAAGATGGCAGAACACGACAAAGAGAAGACAGCTTTCTCGTGTGGAGGCGGCCTTTGGCAATTTCGAGTCATGCCGTTCGGCCTCTGCAATGCTCCGGCAACGTTCGAGAGATTGATGGAGGCGGTGCTGGCGGGTCTTCACTGGAAATCACTACTAGTGTACCTGGATGACGTCATCGTGTTTGGTAACACCTTCAGCGAGGAGCTTCAACGTTTGAAGGAGGTCTTCCAGCGATTCCGCGCAGCCAACCTGAAGCTGAACCCAAAGAAGTGTCATCTCTTCCAAAGGAAAGTGGCTTACCTCGGGCACGAGGTGTCCGAACAAGGTGTCTCTACTGATCCAGCCAAGGTGCGGGCAGTCAGCGAGTGGCCGGTGCCGACTAACATCACCGAACTACGCAGTTTCCTAGGGCTGTGCACTTACTACCGTCGCTTTGTGAAGGGCTTCGCTGAATTGGCAGCTCCATTGCACCGTCTGACACAAAAAGGACAACGATTCGAATGGAACGCCTCATGCGAAGAGGCCTTCCAGAAGCTCAAAGGAGCTCTTACTAGTACGCCCGTACTCGCCTATCCGGAAACAAAGCTGCCATTCATCTTGGACACCGATGCCAGCGCGTGCGGCATTGGGGCCGTGCTATCCCAAAACTCCGACCAAGGAGAACGGGTCATCGCATATTTTAGTCGATCCCTATCCAAACCTGAGCGAAATTACTGCGTCACACGACGAGAGCTCTTAGCTGTCGTAGAAGCCATCAAACACTTTCATCACTACGTGTATGGGGCCCACTTCACTGTGAGAACTGATCATTCGGCACTTCGCTGGCTTCGAACCCTAAAGGAACCAGAGGGACAGCTAGCTCGTTGGTTGGCGCGTCTGGGGCAATACGACTTCGAGATTGCCTACAGACCTGGAACAAAGCATGCGAATGCAGATGGCCTCAGCAGGCGACCATGTCACGGTGCCTGCCGACACTGCACGAAGTATGATTCCCTCTCGGTATCGCGACATACCCACATAGAATCATCTCGAAAGGAAAACGAGGACACCGCTCCGTCGAGTGCCTTTAACATTCGCAGTGCCCAAGCACAGGACCCAGACATTTCGCCAGTTCTGTCACACCTACGCGTCGACAGCTCAAGACCCACAGCAGACGAGATATCAGGAGCAAGTCCCACCAC